GTCCACATCTTGTTTTCATCTCCAGCTAACAAGAAAGAACTGGTTTTAGACTCCGATCTGGGTAAAAATAAAAAAAGAGGAAAAAACTCTGGTTGTTTCGCTATGCGGGCGTGCACGCAAGTGCACGTGTGTGTACAGATTTTTGCTTCATGGTGGGGACAGTTATTGACCATTTCCCCTGTACACACAGCCTGGTGAGGTTAGGGTTATGGTCAGGTGTGTAGCCTACCTGGGAGGTTATGGTTGGCTRTAGAATTGACAGGAAATGAATGTAAGTCAATGCAAAGTCCCCATGARGATAGAACAACAAACATGTGTGCGCGGGAGGTGTGGAGCGGAGCCCGCGAGCAGAGCGCAGTGTTATTAGAAGACATGAGACTGTCAGCGGGCGACCATTGATACTGCTGGATTATTTTTTATGGAACATGATGAAAACTTTTATTTTCAGCGGGCGACCGCTCCCCCTCCCTCTCGTCGCACCAGTGCGACCGGACATTTTTTTTAGTCGCACTATGAGGAAATCTGGTCGCACTCTAGAGCCCTGCCAGGACTTAAGGCACCTTCTGGCTGCCTTGGAGGGATTTCTGAACAGGCAGAGGTGGAGAGGGAGATCAAAACCAACCCAACACTGGTTTGCCTTTGTGTTGCAAAATGAGGGGGAAATGGTTGACAAGTAAAAAAAAAATAGCCTGGTGCCGCAGCTCAGTGACGTGATGAAGTGATGACGTGTGGTCTGTGTAACCACACAGTCGCAGGATTAAACAACGGTTTTGCTCTACACCTCTTTTGGCTCTGCAATTCATTTCTGAGACCTCATACTGTATCTGCAAGATGTGACCAAATCCATCTGGGATTTATTAATGGCCAGAGGGAGCATAAAGACAAACTGGTCTGTGTCGCCATTTTTTTTTTAGAACTGTTTAATGAATAATCCTACTATATATATGTACATTACTATTAAAAATACTTTATTCAACTGATGAAAAGGGTTGACTCCAACAGTTGATGCCTGTTTTAAACAAAGATCTTGCGGGATCTGTTAGTTATTTTATGAAGCCAGAGGAAGACACAAAAACTAAATTGTGCCTGCTTGGATAGAGGAAGAGAGTAGCAATGTTACAGCTTCAGTAGCTGGTGTGTGATGTTCTCACTGTCTCCAGTTATAGAGAACATCTAATGAATAATTCTGAGTTTCAATAAAATCTATTCAGTGATTATAAGACATTTTGCTAGCAAGACTGCCACATCAGCACACACGTTCTGCAGAATGTGCATTAATGAGATGAAGAGCAGAAAAAGCATCAGTGAGTATCTTCAAATATAGTCAATGGTCCACACTTACGACCAGTTTACACAACACCAACTTTAAGTGAAGCCGTGTGGTTTGGCCGTTGGTGTCCACACCACCACCACTAGCTCTCTCTGAACCCAAGCCTTTGAATCCAGGTCTCAGAGGGTTTTGTAAACCCTGAGAATTGTTAAATTAACATACACACTATAAACAGGTGCAGTCAGTCTTTTTTTTTGCACGAGTAGGTGAACAACAGAATAAAGTGCTTCATAATGTTTACAACAGGGTCCTATCAGGGCAGATACTGTCATGCATACACCAATAGGTGTATCAGGAGCAGTAGGAAGGGTTCAGTGTCTTGCCCAAAGACACTTCAGCACATTCCAGTAGGTGAGGATCGAATACACTAGAAAATAATTTCCCTATCACTGGGCCAATGCCAACCCCAAGAAATTGACAAGAAAAGTTTTATAACCAGAAAATAAACTGCTGTATTTAACATACCTCATCGGGAGTGGCCACAAAGTTAATAGCAGTGTAGTAGCGGTCGTCCTCCTGCGACAGGCTGAAGGTGAACTGGTAGTCAATGAGGAGCGTGTCTGAAGTAATACGCCACGGGTGCAGGTGTGGGAGAACACAATGAGGTTAGGGGCAGAAAAAGAATATGCTTAAAGGCAGCCTTACAACAGGAAATGTGCAAACAGGTCAGGTAGGTAAAAAAATTGTCTGTTCCTGTTTTACACTTTTCTGTGGACTTTTACCCTTTAATACAGAAAATCTGGATTTCATTTTCTAACCACTAGACACTTTTACCTGGTTCACACTGCAATATTTTAAATCTGTAGGTTGGTTTTTCAAAGACTGAGAGGCCACACTAGGATAAAAAAAATCATGGATATAACAGGTTTGGTCTTATAGTGTGTGGGGTACAGCCACACACAACACACATGAACAGAACCAATGGTGATAGTTTGAGGACCATTTTAACAAAGAAAAAAAAAAAACAAAACTAAAAGACGATCTCTGATGTCCACCAGACTTTCTGGTGTGTCATGGCAGCTGTTTTGTCTTCTTTATTTTTGATTGCAGATTTTTTTTGTTCTTTCCTTGAACAATTACTGTATTTATTCATGTATAATACTAGAAATTTAACCCTAAAAATCATCCATAATGTGGGGGGATAGTATTATAC